AATGAATGAACATTACATATGTAATGCAAAACCGTTATTCTTGCAATTTGTGTGAAGTTAGAAATTGAGAGTGATAAAATTGGAAATTTATGTGACAGCTGTAATCCAAAAGGAACTTAATTCCTCTTGAGTACTTTAGGTAAAATGTAAAAGGGGAGAACACGGAAGCTAAGAGGGAGTTGTTAAAAGAGAACTGTACCTTGAAACATTCTCAGCTAATCCACATTACAATAACTGAGAAATCTGTACTAAAGAGACTAAAAGCCAGCTAGGGATGCAGCTTAGTAGCAGAGTACTTACCTAGCATCCATAAAGCTCTCATATCATCACAAACCACACTGAGAACAAAGTTACTGCCACTTTAATCAAAAATAGATCCAAAAGGTGGGATAGAATGTACTTTCTGAATTTTATAAAGGAACACAGGAATAATATCTGTAAATGGACTGGTTACTAAGAACGGATAAGGACTATTTCTTGGTATGCTTATTGGACTCAGTGGGGTCAGGGTAGTTGCCTGGATTGTGTCTTTCCACATTACACACTTGTCCTATAATATTACCTTGGCTTGTGAATTTTCACATTAAAAAGACACACTGACAGCCACTAACCCACAAAAGGATCAAATCTGTTTCATTATTTCATAGCATTTAGAAATGTTATAATCACTAAGAGTCAAGCATCAGAATGAGGTCATCTTGTATACTGGCCTCATTTATGACCCACAAATACTCAGATTCAGATATTCATGAAAAGGTTCCAGGGATGTAGCTCAGTGATTGAGTGCTTGCCTAGCATGTGTAATATTCTAGGTCAATCCTCAAAACTGCCCAAAAGAAGAAAAGTTTGAGGGGGCACCTAAATAATCCTATTTTCATAAAAATAGGATAGTGTCTAAGGTCAGTGTGAGCCATTATAACCCACACAAAGCAGCTAAGACTAACTTGATGATCTTTGGTGTCACTGTCAGTATTTAAAGGTGGCAACAGATGGGCTAAATAGCAACACTCACACCCTCACATTGATAGGGCTTCTCTTCAGTGTGAACTCTGCTATGTTTCCTTAGACGTGAGTAAACAGCAAATGCTTTCCCACACTGCTTACATATATAGGGCTTCTCTCCAGTGTGGGTTCGCATGTGAATGTTAAGGGATGTGGAATATATGAACGCTTTCCCACATACATTACACACAAAGGGCTTTTCGCCACTGTGAATTTTCAGATGTTTTGTGCGATGGGAGGAAGTTATGAAGGTTTTCCCACAATGGACACATTCAAAAGGCTTCTCTCCTGTGTGAGTTCTCACATGATGAATCAGGCCAGAGGTCCTGGTAAAGGCCTTCCCACACTCCTTACATTCAAAGGGCTTCTCTCCACTATGAATTCGTACATGTGTGGCAAGGCCCGAGTACTGAGTGAAGGCTTTCCCACACTCCTTACATTCATAAGGTTTGATTCCAGTGTGTGTTCGTATATGTTCAGTAAGCTGAGTAGATCTAGAAAAGGTTTTTCCACACTCCTTACACTCGTAAGGCTTTTCCCCAGTGTGAACTCTTATGTGTTCAGTAAGGCCTGACCATCGAAGGAAGGCTTTCCCACATTCCATACATTTGTATGATTTTATTCCAGTGTGAATTCTAACGTGATCATTAAGGTATGACATATTTTTAAAAGCCTTTCCACACTCCTTGCATACAAAGGGCTTTTCTTCATTATGAGTTTTTACATGTGCAGAAAGTCGAGAAAAATTAGCAAAGGACTTCCCACATATCTTACACACTTTGGATTTTTCTTCAGTATGTATTGAGACATATTGAGTTAGGTGTGAGGAAACCGTGAAGGCTTTCCAACATTCCTTGCAGTCACAGAATTTTTCTCCAGTGCACATTCCCATGGGATTATTAAGGCATGCAAAATATTGAAAATCCTTTCCACATTCCTCAAATTTGTAGGGGGTTCTTGCATTGAGAATTGGAAGATGCATAGCAAAGCTTGTGGGATGAATAAAACCATTCCCATATTTATTCCAGTCAAATGGTTCTCCTCCATTCTGAGGCCTCATATCTGCCTGAAAGTATGACTGATTAAAAAAGACTGTCTCATAGTCTGCGCATTCAAAGGGTTTCTCATTTGTACTAGTGCTCGGGTATATGATGTTTGGCGTCAGACTGAAGATTTTTCCACACTGATTAAGCTCAGAAATGTTCTGTCCAGTAGAGGTTTCCTTGAGCAAAGAAAGAATGTCTTTCCCATACCAGTTACACTCAGAACTGTATCCTTGGCTCTGCATGCTGACCTCTGGGTTAAGGCATAATTGTTCACCCAACACTTCTCCACATGGCTTAGAGTCACACAAGTTCCCTTCACTGTGGTTTCCTGACTGTTGAGGAAGGGATGAATCATCTACCTGAAGACAAAAACAGTTTTATGTTCATTATGAGCTTTACAGTTTCTTCTCCATGCATTCATTTCCTGACCTCTATTTTTTCCAAACTGAATGACAAAATCCCTTGGCCAAAATCTTGATGACTGGCTAATTATATGCATTTCTTAAAAAGGTATATACTTTCATAAAATTGCTAAAAACTTCCATGTCTAATTATATATGTAGAAATACATAGTAATGGAAACAATGAGACATAATCTTTATGGTATATTTGGGGAATTTCCCAATTCATGATATTCCAAATAGTTTTCCAGAAGTATTAATTCCTCTTGGGTATAGACTATTCATCTCAAATATCTCTCATCTCAAAGAGTTTTCTACAAAGGAACCCCCTCCTCTTTTGAATATGAAGTAGAAAATCCTTTGCTGATCTCACCATTTCTATTGCACTGGAACTTGGCATCTTAAAATAATTCGGAAGCTCTGAATCATCAGGTTGTAATTCCAACTCTGAAGTTAAACAGAAAGAGAAATGTAGAAAGTTCAGAAAACAAGAGGTATGTACAAGAAATTCAAAAGTGGTAAGGGTTGTTTGTCCTTCTTTTCAAATTAAGCACATTAAAAAAATAAAAATGAAGGCTGGAAAGATGGCTCAGACATTAATGGCTAAGGCTGAAAACCAAAGAGATGAGAAAATAAAGTGAGACAGACAAGATAGTGCACAACTGTGATCTTACGGTCTGAGAGGCAAAAGCCAGCGAATCTTAGGTTCAAGAGCAGCCTGGGCTATATTACGACACTGTTTCAAAATTAGTAACAGAAAACATGGAAAAGGGAGGGTCGGGGGGATGACTAGCTGTTAAATCAAGAAGACCCGAGTTTGAACCCTATATATAACCCACTTTGAAATACCAGGAATAGTGATAGATGCTAATAATCCCAGCACTAGAACAGCAGAGAAAACTGACTCCAAAGTTATTCTATGACCTCTATAGGTGTGCTGGGATGTGGACACACACACACACAGACACGCAGGCAGACAGACAGACAGACAGACACACACATAGACACACTCTCTCTCTCTAGCTCTCTCTCCCTCCCCTACATGTGAAAGAAAATAACGGCACAGATTTAAGGATTTTGTTATGACAAAACTTTAGCAACAGAACTGCTCAGTGGGTAAATGGTTGCCTCACAGGCCCGGATCCTGAGCTCAATTTCCAGCACCTCCAAAATAAGAACAACAAAAAAGCTGCAATAAAAAAAAAAAAAAAAATTTTTTTAAAAAGTAGAGTCAACATTTTATTTATTACAAACTGATCCTGTAGCAATTACAGCAACAGGAAAGTCAGAAAGGTCTGGGAAAACAGTTAATATTGAAGGACTAAACTTAGGAAATGAAGCACATAGTGTTGTAAGACCACAGGTATGCGCATGAATAGAAACAACAGATTGTGTAAAATGGAAGATATCTCAAACTCTGAAAAAAATGGCTCTAATCTCTGAGGCATACATTGTAAGAAAACTTGACTATGGTTGCAAAACAATACTGAACTCAAATGGATTTTTACATGCATACTCACGTTGAGGAACTGTAATTTCCACCGTCTCCAACTCTTCTTCTTGTTTTAACCAGGGGGTCGGACTAGGAATGAAGAACTGACATCCTGTATATACAGAAACATGAATGGAAGAGCTTCAAACAAAAGATGACAAACTTTCATATGGCTAAGGAAATCATAGTTCAAATGAAAGCAAGGTAATTCGTTCAAAATGAGCAAAAATACAATTGCAGGGGAGGGTGGGATGTAGTTTAGTGGTAAATGCCTACTTTACATGCCTAAGGCTCTAAGAGCAATTTTTAGCACCATAAAAGCAAACACAATGTTCTTATTTCTGTGTCCCAAAAAGGACCCCTGAAAGCCAAATGCAAGTTAATGTGCACTTTCAAGAGAAGCCGTACCTCAAGGATAACACATTTACTAGCATGTAATGTCAGAAGCTACGCCCATAAATTACCAAAAATATGGCTGTCTAAATGAGCTGGACAAAGAGAACTGCAACAGACACGCTCATGTGGGAGGGGCTCAACCCTACATAAAGAACTACAGACAACTAAGGTATGCTATGAGGGGAAGAAGAAAGACCACAGCAATCAGTAAACCTGAAAAGATAACTATACAAGTAAAACTATCAAGACTTTATAGATTGTAATTTATATTTAGGAATACACATACACACACCAACAATTAATGAAAAGAGACCGTGAATTTGAAGAGAGTGGGAATATTACTGGATGGAGGAAAGGGAGAGAGGAAAGAAAGGGAAAAGAAAAGAACTTCACTGTGGATTATTATGTATTAGGGTAAGAATTGTATTTGTTGGAGCTGAGAACATGGCTCGTGATTAAGAGTGTCTGCTGCACAATTACAGAGACCTGAGTTCTGATCTCAGAAACCCACATAACAAGCAGAGCATGGTCTTGAATATGCCTGTAACTACAGCCCTGTGCGGGGTAGACAGGATTGCTAGGGCTGAGTAGCTGAAAACACAAGAACTCTTAAGTTCAGGGAGAAAGCCTGCCTCAAAAGAATAAGGTAGTGATAGAAGAATACAACAAATGCCCCCTCTGGTTTCTGCACACTCACAAAAAGTCAGTCTGGGGTTTGGTTTTTGCTTTGTTCTTTCTTTCTTTTTTCTTTCTTTTTTTTTTTTTTTTTTGGGTACAGGCTTTTTATTACATAGCCCTGGTTCCTGGCCTGGAATTTGTTATATAAATCTTGAACTCAGAAATCTACCTGCATCTGCCTCCTCCTCTCAAAGTGCTGGAATTAAAGGTGTGAGTCCCTCGACACCACCAACACACAGAAGCAGTTTCATTCTAAAAATTGCACCTGACATTCCACTATACTCATAATTAACACGATCAATTTCCAACACATTAAGAAGCATGTAGCATGTATCTGTTTCATAGAAGGTAACGAGGAATGCTGGCAGCCTTACCTACTGAGGTCAAATTTTCGTAGTTCTCCAGCATCACCTCTCTGTATAGATTTCTCTGAGTCAGGTCCAGTAAAGTCCACTCATCTTGGGTAAATTCCACAGCCACATCATCGAAGGTCACTGAATCCTAAACCATTACACACATGTTGCTTTGAGCCAATGAACAGTCTTGCTAGTACTCAATAGAAAATTAGGAAGGTGGACCTAATACCTATCCATGGTTCTCAGATCAGCCTCAATCCAGCTACAGGAATCAATGGCCCCAGGAACTCCTCCCTCTAAACTCACTCTGCTAACCTTCTACTGTCACATGATTTTAGCAGCATTTCATAAGCATGATTTCTACCAGCACAGCCAGTTAGATGCTCTTCTGGTCCTATTGTCTCATTGCAGTACATTCCTAAGCAAACTGTAGATATCTAATAAGTAGATCATCTGGGAAAGGATGCTCTTGCCAGTCTTATCATATGCCAGAGCACTCAAGAAAACAAACAAACAAACAAACAAAAAAATGCAGGTATCACATGAGGCTCAGGATTAGTAAGTAGAGGTCTATGACTGCAACCCCCAACACGGGGGAGGAAGGTTGAGAGTAGCAGGACTATTGAGTTCAAGGTTAGGCTATATAGCCAGACCTTAAATAAAACAAAGAAATAAAAAAATTACCTGGTGGAGTTGGGGATATAGCTCAGTGGTAAAGCATGTGCCTAACATGGGTAAAAAGGCCCTGGCTCAATCCCCAGCCAAGCAAACACAGTGAGCAGCAATTACAGAAATACTAGTATGGTTTGCAAGGTAACACATCACCGATCTAAGGCTCTGCTCCCCAGGAAAATTTGCCAGACACTCTTCACCCCCTAGAGAAAATGCATTTCCTTTAAGTCCTGGAGGCTGAGTCTGTCTAGATTCTAGACTCCAGAAAGAAGCGCATCTAGATCACAGATGAAAAGTTCTATTTGGTAGAATGATATTTTCTTTTTACCTGGTAACAGTTTGCCTGGTTGTCAGTCACTGTCCCTTCTACCTCTGTGTTTTCTTCATAGATGTAGATAGGCTCTCTTGAAAGAAGGCCTGATAGGAAAGAAAGACGGCATCAAATTCAGAGCCATGAAGTCATTTCACTCTAATATGACATTCCCCTGCCATCTGCACACTCATCATATCACATAAATACATGTTCCTACCAAGAAATGCCAAAGCACTTCCGTCTCCTCTGCAGTCAGGGAAGCAGGCTAGGAACTGTGCCGCCTGCTGAGGAAGGGAGTGTTCTCACTTAATAGAGAAACTTAAGGTGTGAAACAAAAAAAAAAAAACCCACTGACTCTGGGGCTGGTGAGATGGCACCATCAGGTTAGTCTGAGTGCTCAGACCTGATGCCCAGAGTTTGATCCAGGATTCCACAACAGAAGGAGAAAATTAACTCCCAAAAAAGTCCTCTGACTTCCACATGTTCCCTCACTCACACAAATACATACACACAATAATAATTAAATAAAACAAAAAGTAAAAAGAAAAACATGACTCTAAATTGCCCCTGGTGACAGAACTCATGACAATTATATAGCACTTCTTTGGAAAGCATACACACCGGAACCCTAAATCACAGAGCACTATTATGTGACCCATTTCAGCTCTTTGTGAATGAACACACAAGACTACTGAAGCCCTGCCCACTGGACTTTGCTGTGCAGGAGAGACCTAAAACAGTCTAAAAAAGAGCTTCAACAAGGACTTACCATGGGACAAATCAATGGCTGCCATCCCGTGATGCTGATGGTGAAATGTGCCTGAACACTCCCTTCCCTGATGCCAAGATCACTTCGGGACAGCTTATGAATCTAAGTGGACAGAGGCAATCTCCATTCCTCTTAATACAGGGTTATATGGAGTCCTGTTCACATCAATCATTAATCAACAACATCGAACGTCAGTCAGCAAACATCACACAATAGTGCTCACTCTCTGCAAATAATATATGTGAAACCCACCGGCAAACATCTACTTACTAACAAAAGCCATACTCATTTACATTTATTAGCTTTGTTAAAAGTTGTGCTAGCACCTTTATTAACTCCCATGTTATCATAACCATCCTACACAGTAGATCAGTAGATATGTTACCCACACTAAACACCCACACCCAGGCAGCACTAGTAATCAGTAGTACCCTGCTTGGAAATGAACTGAGACTTGATGAAGCTGAGTTTGTCCAGAAAGTTTGATTTTCTATGACCACTATTGATCCATAACATGACCAAACATGGGCCCACCATAGCACTATTCAGGACTCACTATTCCATATGTAAATGACTACTTATAGCTACATATTATGACTTAATTTTAAAAAACAAAAACTGAAATGTTTTTAATAATTAACATGACTGCTATCTGACAACTCTTAAGTATGTCTGGTGCAAGGCCCGATGCCACACGCTTGATACTAGCACTTAAGAGGCCAAGGCAGGAAGACTGTAAGTTAGGGCCTCAACCACATAAAGACACCAAGTCTTAAGAAACAAAAAATGGGGGAAGTGGGGGTGGCGCATGCACTTGGGAGGCAGAGGCAGAGGCAGGCAGTTCTCTGTGAGTTTGAGGCCAGCCTGACCTTCCTGGATAGTAAGGACTACACAGAGAAACCCTGTCTCAAAAAATAAACACAAGAAGTTTGGAAAACCTTGTCTATTTGAATCTATCTTACTTTTCTTTCTTTTTAAGGAAAGTATCTCATATACTATGCTATAAGGGCTGGCCTTGAACTCACCATACAACTTCTGATCCTTCTACTTCTAACTCACAGCTCCTAGAACTGCAGATGTGTTCACCATGTCTGGTTTATGTGGCACTGGGAGGGAACTCAGGGCCTTGTGTATGCTAGTCAAACACTCTATCATGGGGCTACATGCCCAGTCTTGTGTGTGACTGTAAACTGTACCCAGGGCCTCATGTAACCTAAACACATACTCTACCACTAATCTATACCCCCAGGTTCCAAATCTTTTAAAACTACTAACCTCATTTAGCATAAACATAAATCAAATGTCTGGAAAAGAAAGTAAGCATCTAAATTTTTTATTATGTACTAAAATGGTATTTTCAATATATGGGTTAAAAATAAACATTATTACAAATAATCTTACCTCTTCTATTTCATTTACTGTAGGAACTGGAAGTTTATTTCAGGTCTGGCTTATTCTTTAATTCTTTCAGCAAATTATTAGGAAGTCCTATTCCTGTGGTAGGCATGAGCAGAGCAGGGAAGGACACAGAAAATATCCTGTTCTGTAAAGATCTAGAAGTCCTATGGGGAAATATAATCATAACATAAGTGCTACAGGGAAAAATCAAGCAGGGGAGGAGAAAGTCCTGCATATATATACACACAGGAAGCACAAAACTGCAAACTGGTTTGGGACAAGATAGCAACACAAAAAGAAAACTAACACTGGCTGCATCACCTTTGACCAAGAGATTAGAGTAAGAATTGACAAGATTTTGTTTTTTAAAGGAACTGAGGGCAAGACAGATAGTTCAGTGGTTAAGAGCATTGCCTGCTCTTCCAGAGGACCTGGGTTCAATTCCCAGCACCCACATGGCAGCCCACACTATCTGCAGAACACACCCAACATTTGCCTCTGACCTCTACACACACACACACACACACACACACACAAACTCAGAGCACATTTCAAGCACTAGGGTCTTGGTTGGAAACACTAGAATCATACATAAATGCTCTTTCCTGTTCCTACTGGCACAGAGTCAAGGGCTGGCCAGATTCCGCCCAGCTCTTTAGTATGCAGTCCTTTTAAAGTATTAAGTTTGCCTTTTTCTTCTCTATCCAGACTCCCGCCCAACAGGAAGATGTGGTTGGCCTTGAACTCACAGTCCTGCCTCTACCTTCTAAGTGCTGGCACGTACCGAAGTCCTTCTCAGGATGCTGGGGAGAGAACCCAAAACCTTGAGCACAATAGGCAAATGCTAAACCAATGAAGCTGAATCCCCAGCCAGAGAGGTTGATGTTTTTGTTTTCAAGGTTTTTTTTTTCCATTCTTCAACAATTTCCTTCGTTTTTTTCTTTTATTGTTACCTTGCGATATGTATTTTAAAAGATTAACTCTTTAAAAACAAACAAAACCCATGAAAATCAGGCACGGTGGGGGAGGCTTTGCAAACCTTTCAAGACAGAAGTAAGAAGACTTCAAAGCCAGTCTGGGCTAAATAGCAATAGTAAAACAAAACAAACCCAGACCTATAATCCCAGCTACTAGGGCGGCTGAAGCAAAATGACAGGATCAATGATAGGATAGAAAGCTCAAAGCTAGCTTGGCTACAGAATGAGTTCAAGGCCAGCCTTGGCAAGTTAGTGGGATCCTGTCTCAAAAAGAAAAAGAGGGCTAAGGATGTAGCTCAGTGACACAGCACCCTCGGTTCAATTCCCAGTATCCAACCCCACACACACATAAATAAATAAGGGCCAATGAGATGGCTTGGCAGACAAAGGTTCTTACTGCTGAATCTGATGCCTTGAGTCCTATGCATCCCCGTGTCCCACATGGTAGACTGAGGGAGCTGACTCCTTACCGTCACATGCACACTGGCATATGTTCTCTCCCCACAAATAGATGTTATACATCCAAGAGAACACATGCTTACCTAGTGCTGTACACAGTGCGCTTCAATGAACCCTACAAGTCCCATAGCCCATTAACCACCAACAAAATTCACCCTCACAAAACCTCTATGCAGCTTACTCTCTAGTTGATGATCCCAAATGCTGGACTAAATAATGTCCTAAAAAAAAAATCACATTTAGACTCCAAGGACAAATAGAGCCCACTACATTTATCCCTAGAATCTTGACTGCTGGTCCCTTGCTAACCCATGCTGGGGCCTCTCAGACACAGAAAGTAGCAGCAGCGCTCCTTACAGTGGGAAAGACACCCAGAAAAAATCAAATGAATCACAATGTCATGTGTGGGTGACTGAGCTGCAGTGTCAACTATGGCTCCTGTCTTGGGAGGCCGAACACAAGCTTTAGCTGCCAGCAGTCAATGTTGGGATAGAACGTAAGGGCTCATGTGTGGTAGCTAAGTACTTTCCCACAATATCCCCAACCATGACGGTATGTTTTGTTGAGATATTATCTGATTCCATAGTCCAAATATGAGCATACCTCACTACACCCACAAAATAAATAAATGGAAAATTAATTTTGTAAGTCTTTAAAGTTTTTTTTTAAAAAAGCTCTTTTATTTACTTATATATGTGGCTGTACCTGCCTGCGCAGGCATATGTGCAAGCCAGAGATTGCTATTTGGCATTTTCCTCTATGGCTCTTATTTTTTGAGACAGTATTTCTTACTAAATTTGGACCAGACGGTATTCTAGACTGGCAGGGCAGTGGGCTCCAGGAGTCCAACAGTCTCTGCATCCCTCTAGTACTGGAGTTACAGGCCCACATCACCACATCCAACTTATTTTTTTAACATGAGTACTAGGGACTCAAACCCACCCACACTTCCTGCTTGCAAAGCTATCTCCCCAGTCCTCAGATAACACTCAGATCCACTCTCTAAGATCTGGCGTGTGGGATGATGAACACCTGTAATTGCTGCACAAAGGAGGCTGAGGCAGGACAGTCACAGGCTGCCTTGGCTACATAGCATGACTGACCCAAAATAAATAATAAATTAATGCATTTTTTAAAAATCTAGAAGGAGGAAACACTACAAGGCTATTAGTACAAACACAAAATCTAACAGGACAAATGACAACCATGCTGAATATCAAATGTTTCTCAAGAGAAAATTAGGGCACTGATCAATACATTGTAAACTGGAGAGTAAGTCTTCATGAGATCTTCGAGGATCACTCTGTCATGTAGCAAACTGGTGGACAGCTGAGAGACAGTGCACAGAAAGGCTCACGTCAGAAGCACGAGTCCAACAGTGCATGTTCAGAGGCAGGTTTGAGACTGACGGCTCCAGAAGGCTCTGAGCTCAGTGTTTCTGTCACTGTGAAGAAACATCCCACTGAAGTAGCTTGAGGAAAAATGTGTGACAGCTCACAGTTCTAGAGAACAACAGCAGGACCTGAGGCATGAGGCAGCTGGTCCCGCTGCGTTTGCAGTCAGGAAGCAGGTGATGAATACCGTTGCTCAGTTCTTTCCTCCCAGTCCAAGACAGAACCATGCTGTCTATTCAGGGTGGCCCCGCCCAAATCTGCCTGATCTAGACAATCTCTCCCAGGTATAACCAGAGGCTCATTTCCTGGACAATTTTAGGTACTATCAGGTAGAAAATCAGTAGAAACCATCACAGGCAGCCTTACTGAAAGATGGTAGATATTTCCGGGAGACCCAGTTGGAGGAAGTAGGTCACTGGGGACTCCCTTTGACAGGTGTGTCTTGTCCTTGGCCCCATCCAGTGGTTTTTCCTGTTCTGGCTGCCAAGAGGTAAAACACAACCTCCTTCACCATGTTCTTGCATCCTGATGCTCACCTAAAGCCTAAATCCACAGGGCAGCGAGATCAAGGACTGAAACGTCTAAAACAATGAGCCTAAATTCATCTTTCCATGAGAGCAATGTTACACATTTCTCTAGCATTTCTGTCACTGACAAACACAGGAGTCTTTCCTGGGAGTCTGGGTAGAACATATATACAAAAGTTGTGGAGGGATTCAGTTGGTAAGTAGGTCCCTATTGGTGGTGGCAATGAAAACAACTTGAGGGACAGACCATCCTTATCACACTAGTACGTCTGAGAGACTTGGCTGAGGGATACTGAGGCATCAAGAAAGTAGGATGGTTTAACTTCGGAAAGATGGCTCAGCAGTTAGAAGCACTGGCTGCTCCTCCATCACTGCATGCTCACCCACACAGTGGCTAACTACCAGCTCTGTAACTCTAGTCCCAGGGGATGAAATGTTCTCTTCTGGTCTCCATGGGCACCATGTATGCAGTGTACAGACATATATGAGGGCAAACACTTGTACACATAAAATAAATAAAGGTTTAAAACAAATGTATAAGCTGTGCAGTGGGGGCGCACGCCTTTAATCCAGCACTTGAGAGGCAGAGGCAGGTGGGATCTCTGAGAGTTTGAGGCCAGCCTGGTTTATAAGAGCTAGTTCCAGGCCAGGCTCCAAAGCTACAGAGAAAATCTACCTTGAAAAAAAAATAATAAATAAAACAAAACAAAATTGTACAACGTGGGGGGGGGGGGTCTGGAGAGAGGGCTCAGTGGTAAAGAGCACTGGCTGTTTTTCCTAAGGATCTAGGTTCAATTCCCAGCACCCACATCAGGCAGATCAAAGGAAACACGACACTTTCTTCTGGTCTCTGCAGACATCTGCACTGACATGTACATCTCTACATGTAATTAAAAATAAGTCTTAGAAAAAATTTTAAGTGGCCAGGGATATAGCAGTGGTGCCTGCAGAGAATCACAAAAGCCTGGATTACACTCCTAACACTACATAAACCAGGCATAGCCGTACAAACCTCTAATCACAGTATTTAGAAAGTAGAGGAAGGAAGATTAGAAATTCAAGGTCATCCTCAGCTACGTAGTTCAAAACTACTTGCCTTTAATCCTAGCATTTGGGAGGCAGAGGCAGGAGAATCTCAGTGAGTTTGAGGCCAGCCTGGTCTTCAGAGTGAGTTCCAGGAGAGAGCCAGGACTACACAACAAAACCATGTGGGTGGGGAGGTCCAGCTTTAAATGAGAACAAGGCAAGAAAGCGCTCAGGCTATACTATAGGCTTCTCTGGCATTTAGCTTAGATGACTTTGCAGACCAAGGAAAACAGGGTACTGGTAACAAGGACCATGAGGAAAGTCAATGGACAGTTTTCAGGTAACACGGACCCAATCTGTGACACCTTCTAGATGAAGATATCCTCAAAAGGAAAATCTTACCCACATCATATGATAAAGGCTGAATAACCAGAAGATATCAATATGCCAAATGGCTGAAATTTCCTAAAATTATTGAGGCACCTGACCCACCAAGCCATATATTTGGTCATGTGATAAAAATCTGTCATCAACAGGAACAGTACAGAAAACAAGCTGAGTGTGGTAGTGGTGTACACCTATAATCCGAGCGCTCAGGAAGCTGAAGCACAAGAATTGGTGCCAGCCTGATGATTACGTCAAGACAAAGAAGACACTAACTGGGCTGGTGGTGACTCAATGGCAGCATGCTTGCCTAGCATACATGAAGCCTTGTGTCCCTTCCCTAGCATTACATAAAACCAGGGGTAGAAACATGTGCCTATAGACTCCACACTATGAAGGTAGAGACGGGAGGATCAGGGGCTAAAGGTCATCCTTAGGGTTCAAGGCTGGCCCGGTCTACATGAGACCCAATCTCCCACAAAAAGGAAGGAAGAAAAATTACACAATTCTGTCAACTCCAGAAAGCACAAGTAAACTATGAGACCTTGTGGCAGACTGTGTGATGGACTACCTTAATACTTGTTTCAGACGTATTGTTCCCAAACATCGGACAAGACCCACTTCACAAATGAACCTATGACATATCAGCACCACCTAGAAGGAGAGCAAAGAGATAAAGTTCTATGGTCCCAACTCTGGAGAGCTCTATTACCAGAAAATTATCCCAGTGCTGAAGGCTGAGGAGTAGGCAAAGCATGTGCCATGCAAACACAAAAACATCAGTTCAAATCCCCAGAAATCATGCAAAACCCCCAAGCAGCAGCAGCATGGATGTCTGTAATCCAGGGTGCCTACAGAAAGGTGGAAAGTAAAGACAAAAGCAGCCCAGAAACACCAGAAAGCCCACTGGACATAGTGGAAAAACAGACTCAAAACAAGGTAGAAGGCAAGGACCAACAGCTAAGTTTGCCAATCACACATTCATATATACGCACTCACCCATATACATAGATATATATATACACACACTCACACCCCACATGCACCAACACACCCATATACATAGATATATACACCCGGAGAGTTTTTTAAATGAATGGATAAAATATATAGTTTTAAAAAATCCTCTCAGTAAAGAACATTAGAAGGCCCATCATGAGGAGTTGCCAATCATTCATCAAGGGTACAAAGACCAAAATGGTGATAAGGACATCTGTACAGGCATGGGGGCACACACTTGTAACCACAAGACTTGGATAGCTAAGGAATTCCAGGTCAGCCTGGGCAACACAGTGAGACTGTCTCTGTCTGTCTGTCTGTCTGTCTGTCTGTCTGTCTGTCTGTCTCTCTCTCATACATACACACACACACACACACACACACACACACAGCAGACTGCCTTATCCGGAAGGATACAAAGTATCAAGATACTTGTGACCTGCCTGAAACCCATCACAGATGATCTAAGAGAACCCAATCACTGGGTCAGGAATGCACTCAGTGGCACAGAGTGCTCATCTCCCAAGTTCAAGGCCTGGGTCAGCCTCAGCACAGGGGAAAAGCAGACTTATCTGAGTTGTTTGCAATGTACCCTGGAATTCCTTCTCCTACTCTAACTAGCCCTTCACCTCCCTGGAGGAGAATCCAGAGTAACTTAACCCCTGGAACTCTTGAACACTGACACACCCAAGGGTGACAGCCAGAAATCTCCTCTGCCAAGATGAACCTAAAAGGACCAGGCAGCTTGAAAATGTCCTTATCATCTTCCACATATTTCACTTGGGGGGATCCCAAGGAACTAGCTGGTATACTGACAAAGCTCAAAGAGTTGTGGGCCAGGAAGATAGATCAGCAGGCAAAGGTGCTTGTGCAAGGCCTAATGACCTCTCTGGGACAGGGAGAAATGACTCCTTAAAAGTTGTCCTCTGACCTCCGCAGGTAAGCTGAGGCACATCCTCTAGATATACAAAAATAAAATCAAATTTTAAAACACTGAAGAGTTCCTAATACTAAGTCAATCAAGGCATGTACATATTGTTGACTGAGTAGGTTATGGGAAAAACAATTTCAAAAACTCCCAGCAGTATCCATGAGATTCCTGTGTCCACACTATAAAAGGTACGCTCCTGTGCGTAAAATGGAAGCAAATGCCTTTCCTACCTCTACAACTTGCCACGTTCTAAACCGGAAAAAAACGAACAAATATGAGTTGCTGCTCTGTGGTAAAACACTGGTTCTCCGCAGTAAACAGAAACAGTCAAAGATAGGACAAGAATATACATGAACAGA